AGCAGAGAAGATTTGGCAGAACCAGACGGGCAGATCGGGCGGATAGACCCTACGGGGCGGGTTGGGAAGGCGGGCCCCTCGCTGCCAGGTCGAGCAGGTAGCTTGCTGGAGCGTGCGTCCTGCACGAGTCGCGAAAGGATCTCCAGCGATATAGCGATCCGCAAATAAATCGTGAAGAATCCACAGCGAGAAAACGGTTCCTAAGTGTCGAGGGCGCGGCGTCTGAATAAATTGCGGTGAAGGCCCACGCTAGAGTGCGATTCCTGCATAAACTGCGTGGACGGTCCGCGCGAGAGCGCGATTTGGCAGGCGGGAGCCGCTGTTGTTGTAAACCACGGATCAACAACACAATTCTCAGATTCAATGTGTTCTTTGGTCGAAAAAAACAAGGCGCGGGCCCCCGGAAGGCATTTCAGTTGAAAGAACACAGTGTGCCCTCGAAGGGGGGATCAGCAAACCTCATGTTCTCGAAATGAGAATCCAACAACGTCAACACCGCTCCCGTGCGATATTTCCTCACACTTTTCTCCAAGAGGTCCTGGCCAGAAAGGGCCCGAATTTCAGGAAGGGCGTTCTCGCCTGAGGATTCCTCGAATTCCTTCAGACCAGTCTTGCCGCTACTTTCGGATGTCGCAACGGCCGTTTCGCCTGAAATTTCACCACACACGGGTCTTTCAGAGCTAGTTTGCTGCTTTCCGCGGATGCCGGAACGGCTGTTTCGTTTCAAATCTTTTTGCAGTTCAGCACCACGTGGGGGTCCTTCAGAACATGTTTGCTGCCACTCGCGGATGCTGGAACGGCCGTTTCGCTTGATCCTTCTTCGGGATCCAGCATCACAGAGACCGTCAGAGCAGTGTTGCCGCTTTTGGCGGAGGCCCCAGAAAGCCCCAAAACGCTCCACGAGTACGTGTTCGGGAGCGTTTTTCAGCTCCCGCCCCCATTGGGTCCAGGACATATATTTTTAGGGATTTGTGTTCAGGCAGTGCTTTTCGCCCCCCCGTGGGTTTCGCCCCAATCGGTTTCGCCGCCCCTCTCCTGGAGATCGAATCGTTTGTAGTTTACATATGTTCCTATGGGTTGCCCATCTCCTGGGGATCGAATCCTTCCCTAGTGTTTTACACATGTTCCTGTATATTGTCCCTTGACTTGAGCTCGTATCCTTAGTGCTTTATTTTTATTCCCATCGATTGCCCGTCGACTGGGGTTCGAATCGTTTGTGTTTTAAGTATGCTCCTATATACTGCTCCCCTCATGGAGCTCAGAGTTCTCGCGTTTCGAATCCTCACCGCTCCCCAGAGTCGCTCTGACTTTTATGTGACGTGCGAGCTGAAAGTGGGAAAGTGTCTCGGGAGAGGGGTTGGCTCGACCTATTTGGGCAGGGGATCTGGATTTGGGAAATATCGGTCCCCCTTATCATAGATTCCGTCCAAGAGGGGGTGGCATCATGATGGATGCATGTGGCACGTAGAATCATGGCGCATGAGGGTATCATGATTGAGTTCTCATGTTTGAAGAATTATTAGTGGCCCCCCTGTCCGGTGCCTGGCAGCGGGGTGGGGGGCTCCTCCTCCAGCGAGCGAGAGACGAAGAGAGAGAGACTGGAGTGCTAGGGGGGGGCTCTCACCGCGCGGGAGAGGGGAAGAGGAAAACATCCGAGTCTTGGGGGGGGGTGCTCCTCTTTCGGCGCGCGAGAGTGGAAGCTAGAGACTGGGGCGTACCAGGGTGGGGGATGCTGCTCCTCTCTCCGCGCGGGGGAGGAAAAGGAAAGGGGGGGGTGGGGGGGGGCTTCCCTCGGGCGGGCGAGAGCGGGAAAGAGAGAGAGAGAGAGACTGGAGTGCAAGGGGGGGTGCTCTTTCTCGTCCGCGCGGGAGGGGAAAAGTGACAAAAGTCCGAGTCCTGGGGGCGGGGGGGCGATCCTTCTCCGGCGCGCGAGAATGGAAGAGAGAAGGGGCTGGAGTGCGTGCGGGGAGGGGGGGGGGGGAGAGGGTGTTCTCCCTCCTCCCCAAATCCGAGTGTTGGGGCGGGGAGGGGCGTTGCCTCCCCCGGCCCGCGCGGGAGGGGAGAAGAACAGGATCCGAGCTCTGGCCAGACTGGATCCCCTCGGGCGCGCGAGAGGGGAAGATGGCCGCCACAATCGAAAGGACGACGATGACGATGATTCTTACGTTAGAGAAGAGATTTCCGCACGGGGTCCCCACCGCCGGTGTGATTCCCAAATAGTCTCAGGGCTTGGACCAACAGGGTACTGTGCAACAGGCATGCTCCTCTCCTGCCTCGACGACCTCTCGATTATTTTCGCCATCCTCTTCCGCTGCGCTAATTTAGGCCGTTGCTCGTGCGCAATGTCCTGGACGCCGCCCGGCCTTTCTTCGCCGCGATCGCGATCAAACAATCCTCACCAGCCCCCCCTCCGTGAGCGCCGCGCGGCCCGCCCTGGCAGTCTCTCCTCCCGCCGCTGTCTTGTCCTCTTTCTTCGTCTCTCCCCCGTGTGCAATTGAGG